AAAACATTGGACGCTTTTGAACGACTGAAGAATGAAAAACTGCGCTTTTTAAATACTCATGTTTATCCAGAAAATGCACAAGTTTCAGAAATTCCTCATCATCTCTATTGCGACATGTTTGTGAGTGAGGATGAATTTATTGAAATTTTTAGAGATTTAATTAATAACATTAATTTACAACTTAAATTAGAATGTTTTAGAGATTTTAGAAAATCACCCAAATATTTGGAAGCAGTCGTAAGTGAAAGCAGTAACGACGTGAGTAGCGTGACTGGAATTTTGAGTAGTCAAAGCAAGTATCCCATCGACACGATTGCAACTCCTAGAAGATTTTTCAATAAGCGACGACTTTCAGAGAATGACCTTTCGCATCTAAAGAGTGATTCAATATCATTCAATAACCATGCATTGTTACTTTCTCCAAGAAGAGACTCTACGGCTGGTTCGAGTACAAGTGGTCACCACTCGTGGCTGCAACGTGAGCAAAAGTCAAGCGCTCGATCCTTGTTGAGAAATATGAAAAATCCACTCGAATTGTTTATGGTATTGCACAATAGGTGAAGAGAAAGTGAATTAAATCATCCTTATTTAAGTGATTGTTGGTTGTTCCACCCAAAATTACAAAGCCACCTATCAGACCAAATTTGGAAAAAGCTTTAAAAAGATTTGTAGTGGTGAACTCTGAAATTGTTGTAACCCTCAATAATACACTACGAATTGTCTTGATACCAAGATTTAGATTTACTTGGAGAGTATTTTAGTTTTTGTGATGGTGAACACTGCTGGACACTGTTAAATTTGGGCCGCGACCACACATTTCGTCATTGTGGAAACAACACAAAAATTGAATCAACACTAAAAGATGATCTTTATTGGAAATACTAGCAGTAGAAACAATAGCAACTCTACTCCTATGGTTAACACAACAAACATCATGAACGACGACAATATTTTAGAAGTTCACATGAATGAATTATTGATGGAGAACAACGAAGACATTTTCATGTTATTATTAACGTTGAAATGTTCCAACCTGAAAATTCGACAAGAGTTGAGAGATGACAAGTTCCATTTAGAGGAGACTGAACAATTGTTAATGAAATCACATACACCTGCAGATATTGTTTGTGTGATTGACAAGAGTGGTTCGATGAGTGGTGAGAAAATGACACTTGTCAAAGATACTTTGGATTTTGTCATTGGAGCTTTAGGACCCAAAGACAGATTGTCCATTGTTTCATTCGATGATGAGTTCTTCACTAATTTAAAATTGACTTTTATGAACATGGATGGAAGGGTAAGTACTGTGTGAAATGACAACAACTTTCAATTATTTTACATTTATGGTTAAAATATTTCAACTCATTCCAGAGACGAGGATCCATTTCCGTTGAAAATATGAGAACTGGTGGAAGTACTTTCCTCTCTGGTGGTTTACTGAGAGGTATTGAAGAAATGAATGCCATTCCTAAACGTATCAGAAATCCTTCACGAGCTCTCTTATTGTTTACAGATGGAATGGCAAATAAGGGAATTACTAATACGTAAGTCATTATTCATTTGATTCAAAATGTTTGACAATACAATTTTTTGTAAATTATTATAATATATATTCTATTAATATTATTTTATTTATTATAATATATTCTATTAATATTCTATTAATATCATATGATTCATATAATATCTTATTAATATTGCCATTTATGGATATTCAAAACTATAACAAAATTGGGAATGAAAATTATTCAGTTCTCATCTCATTCAAGCCATTCGAGATCCAACTAAAGATTATTCTATTCATACCTTTGGATATGGTTCAGAACATGATGCAATCATGCTCTCAGCTCTTGCAGAAGAAGGAAATGGAATGTATTATTATGTGAAGGATCAATCGTCCATTTCGAAGTGTATGGTGGACTGCATTGGTGGAATTTTGACATGTCAAAAAAGGAATGTGAAACTAAGTTTGAGTGGTGATAGCAATGTACAGTTTGTTCAAGTTTTCGGACCTCATGCAACTCCACAAGGAGACAATACTTTTACAATATTTTACAATGATTTACAAATGGAAGAGGAGAAGCATATTATGATCAAAGCCAAACGTCAAATGCCAAATTCTCAATACGTGGGCCCTTTAAAGATCAGAATACAATTAAGCATGAATAATATTCAAAATAATTGTGAAATGGAGACATTCGAACAGATTGTACAAGTAGAAAAATCTACTCTCAACTCGAATTGGAAATCCAAGTTGAACTGCCACTTGTCAAGACAATATGCAGTCCAAGCATTGAAAGAAGCAACAGAGAAATTACAAGATCATTCCATGAACGTTGCTTACAATATTTTGAAGAATGGTCTCGAACAAATTCATCAATGCGTGATTGAAATGGATCATTCTCTCAATTCTCCCAATGATGCTTTGACACTTTACATTTTTCACACCTTACAAAATATTCTTGCAGAGTGTGAAAACCATTCGATTCCGTCTTCCAATATATTAAGCAAGATGAACTCACTCTATTACGAGTTATTGTATGAAAGGTCAGTCAGTGATCCGAGTGTGATGGATCAATCATCCTCTTCGACTCATCCTTCAACTGTCATTCATCAAACTCTCCCTCGCAAATTCTATGCCTATCGAATGGCCAATCGAATCAAATTCATGAAGTGCCATAATTGTGGAAGTAACCAACATTTTGCAAGAAATTGCACTCGGGCAGAGATGTGTCACAATTGCAAACAAATTGGACATTTGGTCAATCAATGCCCATTTCCACCAAAGTGTCATCATTGTGGAAGCACTGAACACTTGTCTAGACAATGCACTGAAATGATTTGTTTTAAATGCAAACAATCTGGACATCGAGCGAATGAATGTCCAATGACGCAATTTCAAGGAGGAAACAGCAAGTCAAGATTTGGGAAGGACAATGACAGAAAGAAGCATCATGGAAATTATCCAAAAAACAAGCATTAATAAGGATTTAACTGATGCATCGCTTATGAACTTATTCAGTTAATTTGTGTGTTTTTTATCTAAAATGTGTAAATAACCTGCAAAGGTACTTGTTAAGAATGAAATAATGGCAGCAATGATTTGAATAAAGGCACTCAAAATCATTCCTAACATGAGACCACAAATTTTGGTGAATGGTCGATTCATGAATGAAACCTTTTCCTTGGTCGTGTCAGAAGAGACATTGGAGGAGGTTTTTTTCACAATAAAAAGCAATCGAGCGCTGACAGCAATAAATACAATCAAATTTGTCACATTGACAATAAAGAAGATGCATAAGAGCACAATTTGTAACGGAACGGCAAGTGTTTTGTTGAGAAGAGTTATTTTCACAAGCAAGTTGAGAATGGCATTAAGAATAATGAGGACGCACAAGATACCACTCGTGATCATGTTTAAGGCAATGATTGATCCTCTTGTGAAAATGTAAACCTTTTTGGTCATGGTCCCTGCAGCTGCTGCTGTGGTCATACTGTTTCTCGAATGAAATCCATATGCATTTTGGTTGGTGAAGAAATTGATCAAGAAGGGGAAATCATGGTGATGAATTTGTAGTGGGTGATGGTTTTGGCCGTCACAGAGATTGGTCAAGAAATGACATTTTAGAAATGCAACCAAATTTGTCGACAACGTTCTCGATTCCAGCACGCGCAATTATCATCATTTGATCCCACTCAATAACCAACAACAATCAAACACACACACACTCTCTCTCTACTTACAACAAGTCTTGTAGAAAACCAATAATCATCGTAATGGTTACAATCGCACCAAAAGACAAGGCATTCTCAATCACAGAAAAGACCCACAATACAATTCTATAATCCAACAAATTTGGAAAATTCATCCAATCCTTTTCATTCATATAGGCCGAAGTACCATGATACACCACACGAAAACACAAGGCAACCAATAAACCTGTCAAGAAGAAGAGAATCTTTTGCTTTCGTTTCATTTCTTAAATGAATGGCATAAATAATGAGAATGGTCAAAAGAATGTTCAACACGATCAAGTAGAAACCAGAATTGCTGAGAGAAGCAACGTTTTCTCGAGGTTCAGCAATTTTACCTTGAGTGGCATTAATGGATTGAAAGAACATGATGGGAAAGAAAAGATTGAAAGATGATGCTGCAGCAAGTGTTGAGGTTGGTGATGTTGCTGCTTCTGTTGTGGGTGTTGGTTCTGTCATGATCATGTTGTTGGACATGTGGTGGTGGTGGTTGTGAGAGTTGGTTTTTTTGTGAGTGGTGGTCATCATGGTAAAATCTTTTAATGGAAGAAAGAGATCTCTGTTTGAACAAATTCAGAATGGAAAAAAACTTCCAATTAGTTGATGGATTTCATCTTGAACCACTCGAGTGGCCATGAGCTGATGCTGGCAAGGTTCCAAATGCTGGCAATTTACCAAGTATGTGCAAGGAGACATGTTGTTTCAACGCACATGAAATCCGTAAAGAGGGTATACAACGATGCATCTCATGGTTGGAATAACTCTGCGAGGAACCACCCTGGGTCAACATATTTTGACCAAAAGATGGAATTGGATTCCTAAGGAGAAGAGAAGTGAACTGCTGATTGAGTCACCGTCCATATGGAGTGACACCATCTCTGTTGAACCTTTTCGCAAGAAATGACACAGTGCCACTTCAGAAATTTCTTTCATCAGATGGAACGACATGAATGTATTGAGATTTAACCGTCAGCAATTCTCTCGTTGTCTGCCATCACTGAAGGTTGTTGAGTTGATGACATTCACATCTTGACAAATGTTTAAAGTAAGCAAAATTTTTATTGAAGGACTCATCGATGAATTCCATATTCTCTCAGTATGGACCATCACATTCATGTGTGCGTGGACATTCATTCGATTGCATCACATAGTTCATCATTCGGTCAAATACTTGAATTTCATCAAATTTCGTTGTGTGTTGAGAATAAAGTTCAGAAGAAGCTGATTTTGATTGATCACTCGACAAGAAATGATTCACATTCACCATCCAGACACTTTCAGGCTCACTCGACACACCCGCAGGCATGGTGACATAGTCTGCTTTCTCCACTCTTCCTTCACGAGCCTCTCCTGTCCTTATTTTTTTAACCGCCACAAGCGATACCATTGGGGTACGTTTTGGTCAATTTTTTCTTCTCCAAGTGAACACAGTGGCAATTATTCAATCCAATTTGCATTGTTGAGTCAGAATCAATAAATTATTGTGAAAGTACTTTTAACGGTATCATCTCATAGATTTTGAATGTCCTTTTCAACACACACTCTTGAGAATTCCTAATTCACGATTCCAGAATTCATCTCCTCCAAAAATAACTACCAAAAAACAACAGAAAAAAAATGTAGAAACGAGATCACAACCACCTTGTGGTGAACTATTTATCACAACACCATCTCTGTCGGAAATCATACTCCTTCAATGACCATGTTTCGTGTGACTTGGAAAAAAACAAGAAACAAAATCTAGCTCCAAATCTCATACTCACAAAGAGCAATCATGTAAAAGTGATGATTCATGATTTTTCAAAAACTTCTTTTGATGAACATGATTCAGAAATGAATCCTCTTCGTCGTTGGGAATTGTTACTATAAAAGAAAATTTCATTGCAACAAGAAGGAAAAGAAATGGCTCGAAAATCGTGAATTGAAATTTGACAAGTTCTTTCCTGTCGAATTTATGAATGATAAGAATTTGTGTTGAATTACATTAGCAAGTATGGCTATGGATTGAAATTTGCATCCAAGTCATTAAAAAAAGATCGAGAGTTTGTGTTGAAAGTGGATCAGTTATTAGGAACAGAATTTTTCAACGTTGTTTAGGAATGTCAAGTTTTTTCGCCTGATAATGATGAACCGGATTATAAACAAATTATGTTAGCTGCCGTCAAGAAGAATGGTCAAGCATTACAAAACATCAGCAATCATTTGAAATTCAATAAAAAATTTCTATTGACAGCCATTCAAAAGAAAGGTATTTTCATTCGTGCCAACAACCATTTTACTTGATCGTGAATTCTTATGGACACTTGTCCAATTTCTAGTTCCTGAATTTTCTCATTTAAATCCTCTTGATTATTCCAAAAAAGAAATCATGATGAAATTTGTTCAAGAATTTGGACCCGTTCTTTGTTTTGCAAATAATACACTCAAAAAGGATCGAGAGATTGTTTTACATGCAACAAGGAAAAGAATCAATTATTATGCGCAGGATGTCACTTTTGAGAACACACAGATATTGAAAAGAAGGTTGTTTTAAATTCCTTGCCCAATTCCAAATCGGTGATTGAGCAAATTCAAAACGCAATGGCCATCAACAAGATGAAATGGATGATTTATGAACAAGATTGGTTGAAGGAGCATGTGGATCGTGTTCAGGTATCTGTAAAGGAAGAGGAGGATTGTCAAGAGGAGAAGGAATGTCAAGAGGAAGAGGAGTATTGTCAAGAAGAGCAAGATCAAGAGTTTTTGGAAAATCTGTGTGAAAGTGATTTGGAAGAAGAGGATCAAGAATGAAACGATTGTGAAAACCGATAGGATTTATTCACGGGTGGACAACTCGAGCGTATTTTTTGCCAAACACCTCAAGCTACGAGAAAACTTTTCGCTGGGAATTTTAATAACACAACGATCATAGGATGATTTTATGATGGTTTCAATCCATCAAAACCTGCCAATGCAATTGGTTGTTTCTGACACATAAAGGAAACACCACATCACTATTGGTGCGTCAATATGTTGAATTGGCACTACAAGAGCCATGGTGGTTGCTTCTTAAAAATTTGTCACGTCCATGGAGGACTGGAATTGTGACTGAGTTGAAGACAACCATTCCCGCTCATCACAATCACATGATCGACACCATCTCTCTCTCAAACAGTCATTACATACTTTCAAGCCACAATCCTTGCATGGAGTTAGTGATAAACAAGGCTTGTGGCATGAATTGCATAGCAATGTTGGCATGTTTGGATGGCAGATCTTACAAAGGCCGTCATAGTAACATTTGCAACATGTTGAATTTTGACATTGAAGGCATTTAGAAACGGCATTGGTTAGTCTGTGACAACAGTCGCAATTAATAACTATGCATATGGAACAGCGTTGACATTCCCCTAAGTAAGAACATTTCTCGCAAATAATAGCAGAACAAAGTGAACACAATATTAGTTCCGTGTGATTAGAACAAACCTGGCACTTTCTCCGTTTGCAAATTTCTGAATTGCATCCACAAGTTGAATCACATATTCTTCCCTTTTTTGCACAACTACATTTCGAACAATTTCCTTTTTTGCATCTGCATCCAACTTTCTTCTTTGTTTTGTGTAGATCATCATTAATATCATTAATCTTCTCTCTTTTCCTTTTCAGCTGATTGATTTTAAAACTTTAGTAAATCCAATCACTTTTCCAGTGCTTTTCATCACACATAACCCTCCTCTAATTTCTATTTCATCATATGAAATTATGATCTTGTTACTAATATTCATTGCCATGGCTTTAACAACATCTTTCAAATCATTGTCAGCAAGTTTTCCAAAAGACAAGTCCGGAAGATAGCTCTTAATTGTTGAGATAGATGGAAGCAATAAATTAAGCTTATCCAATGCGTTTTCAGATGTTATAGTTTCACCGGGAGAATTTCCTTTCAAAATATTCCACAAAAGAGAGCCACCATAAAATCGAAGTAATAAACACCAATGAATGATACACTCTTTGTATCGAAAACTGTTAACATTTTTCGACGAAACCAAATTTTGCAAAGTATTTTCTAATAATTGATAAAAGAACTGGGTTTCATGTAACTTTCCTTCCTCTAGCGCAATCGAGAGAAGTTCTACCAAATAATGTTTTTGATCTTTTTCTTCAATTAATTCTTCGAAATTCTTAATTGTAGTATCTCGTCGAGAGATTTTTGCCTTCAATGATTTGATGACATTTTTGTATTCTTGTGTTCTTGCAGCGAGGTGAGCTGTTTTGGTATTTTGGTTTTCAATTGTTCGCTGATAATGGCGTAATTTTGTTTCATAGCATTCATAACATTTTTCACAAACTCCATATTTGTTGAGATTGCAATTATTGCAGTCTACACTAAAAAAACAAAATTCGCCATGATGATTGAAATTCACACTTCCGAAGCTGTGGCCATTGTGTGATATGATTCCCAATACTGTTAATAAATGGCTCACTTTTTCGAAAGAGATGCCTTTACATCGCGTATTACCTTCTTTGCAATTACTACAGCACTTGTTGTCGGAATGTTTGCATTGACCGAATTTATCGGTAACGATTGAAATGATATCTTTCACTCCTTTTGGTTGTTTTTGAATTTCAATGGTAACAGGGTTGCTGATGTGGTGGGTGTTTTTAAAATTATTGATATTGTTGTAATGTGTATTGCATAGCAAAGGTGTTGCATTGGACTTTTCTGTTCCGAGTATGGTGATATTTGTTGGCACGGTTCGCAAAGCGTTCTTGGAGCAAAGGCAGCAACGTCTTCGTTTCATTTTTCTTTTCGAAAAAATTTCTGTTGAATGAAAGCAAAAACAATTAGTTGGAAGAGTTTAAAATTAACACCAAGCCCGTCAAAAGTGCAGAACAAATAGATTATCCTTGAGTGTTTATTGGCCTGTTATTCTAGAATTTCTTGTTGGTTGTTTGCACTTTACACGGGCTTTATGTTTAATTCAACTAAAGTCAGTGTCACCTTTTTTTAACGGCCGCTATTTATTGTATATTAGGTCTCACAATTCCAAACTAAAGAATATGAAACTAGACGGAATGAAACATCTACTGTATGAAAATCTTGGTTTCAGCTTGCGTAATTGTCGAACAGTTCAACTCTGAAACAAGTATTGAAAATTGGTCGGTGTTATAAACTGAGTAAAAAATAAAAGTGCGCTCGCGAAGAATCTTGTCTCGCATCTTGGTCATTTTTACTGATTTATTAATAACTTTATCAATTCCCTCAATGAGACGCAAGAGTATTTAGATATTAAAAATCTATTTACATTATAATTTGTATAATTATAAAATTATAGAGACCCAAATACAACAGGGAAAATTCAAATCACTTCCAAAAAAGGAAATGGACACAGAGGGATTCGAACCCTCGACCATCTGCTCTCCCCGTCTCATAAGACAAACGCTCTACCTCTGAGCTATGTGTCCAATCAATATATTAAGGAAGGATCGTTTTCACCTCTGCTGTAGTGTCCATTTGATATTGAGAGAATTTTTTCAAACACATTGGTTTTGTGTATTGGAATTTAGCACTTGTCCTGTACTGATAGAATTATGCGATGATGAAGAGGTTACTATATCTTCCTCCTCATTAATTAACTCTGAGAGCCTTTTGAAGGAGTGAAGAGGATGTTATTGGTTTGTCATGATGATAAATGACACCCTGCTATCAAAAAATGTCCAATCATTACACGAAACCCAGTTCTTTTATCAATTAAATACTTTGCAAAATTTGGTTTCATAGAAAAATGTTAACAGTTTTCGATACAAAGAGTGTATCATTCATTGGTGTTTATTACTTCGATTTTATGGTGGCTCTCTTTTGTGGAATGTCTTGAAAGGAAATTCTACTGGCGACACTATAACATCTGAAAACGCATTGGATAAGCTTAATTTATTGCTTCCATCTATCTCAACAATTAAGAGCTATCTTCCGGACTTGTCTTTTGGAAAACTTGCTGACAATGATTTGAAAGATGTTGTTAAAGCCATGGCAATGAATATTAGTAACAAGATCATAATTTCATATGATGAAATAGAAATTAGAGGAGGGTTATGTGTGATGAAAAGCACTGGAAAAGTGATTGGATTTACTAAAGTTTTAAAATCAATCAGCTGAAAAGGAAAAGAGAGAAGATTAATGATATTAATGATGATCTACACAAAACAAAGAAGAAAGTTGGATGCAGATGCAAAAAAGGAAATTGTTCGAAATGTAGTTGTGCAAAAAAGGGAAGAATATGTGATTCAACTTGTGGATGCAATTCAGAAATTTGCAAACGGAGAAAGTGCCAGGTTTGTTCTAATCACACGGAACTAATATTGTGTTCACTTTGTTCTGCTATTATTTGCGAGAAATGTTCTTACTTTAGGGAATGTCAACGCTGTTCCATATGCATAGTTATTAATTGCGACTGTTGTCGCAGATTAGCCAATGCTGTTTCTAAATGTACTCAATGTCAAAATTCAGCATGTTGTAAATGTTACTACGATGGCCGTTGTAAGATCTGCCATCCAAACATGCCAACATTGCTGTGCAATTCATGCCACAAGCCTTGTTTATCACTAACTCCATGCAAGGATTGTGGCTTGAAAGTATGTAATGACTGTTTGAGAGAGAGATGGTGTCGATCATGTGATTGTGATGAGCGGGAATGGTTGTCTTCAACTCAGTCACAATTCCAGTCCTCCATGGACGTGACAAATTTTTAAGAAGCAACCACCATGGCTCTTGTAGTGCCAATTCAACGTGTTGAGACACCATTAGTGATGTGGTGTTTCCTTCATGTGTCAGCAACAATAAATTGAATTGGCAAGTTTTGATGGATTGAAACCATCATAAAATCATCCTATGATTGTTGTTTTATTAAAACTTGCAGCGAAAATATTTTCATGCTCAAAAAATTTTCTGCCTGTTCGTGCGTTTTGATTTGCTTAGTGACTTCCCTTTCGCACTCCCACCCATTTGCTTTCAAAAGTTTTTAAGGTACCTTTTTCGCTTATTTTCATGGATTTATCAAGCAATTGCTTAAATGTGACTTCTTGCGCTTCACATCTTAGAATCTTTGTCTCTGCCTTCCTCCTTCATACTTCCTTGCGTTTCTTTGGTTTTCTCCTTTTTTCCGCTGAGCGGTTTTTGGAGTTTTTTACCTTCTCAAATCTTAATTAATACTCGGGACTCTGCTAAATAAAGTCAATTGACAAAATATGCAGAAAATCCACAAACACCCGACCTTTATCAAGGTCGGGTGTTTGGAGAGACTACAAACCCATTAGTCCTTCCTTTAATTAACAAACGAATTTTATTGTTTATTCTTTTGAAACATGATATGTTTTGAATGTAATGAAAGTCATGAATGTTTTAATTGTAAACAATTAAAGAGTTTGGTTGAGCTTAAAAAATTTTTCCATGCTCAAAAAATTTTCTGCGTATTTTAAGCTGTTCGATATCCATCACTATCACTTCAATGTTACAAATATATAAATTGTGTTACATTGGTCACCAGACAACATGCTCGATTTACCAGTAACACTTTCTGACGTTTGTGAAATATTATATTCAGACACTCGTTGTTTCTATTCTCTCCAATTAAAATGCTCTAATCCTTTTAATTTTTTCAAATTCTGCAATATGGTATTGTTATACTGCCCACTTGAAGCCATATAAGCAATTGTATTTTCAACTAATCGCTGTTTAACATGAAGAGCACACATAATTAAATCTTTAGGACTGAATGACAAGGAATCTCCAAGGGTTGTTCGATTTTTTGCTCCAAATTGTTCAACAGTTTTTGCCATGCAGTATGGACAAATATCAAATTAAAATGTAAATCCAACATTGTGCATGTCTGAAACATAGAAAAAATGAACTCTAGATTTTTCAAAATATGTTTTTGTGACACAGCTTTGATTTCGTCTGTAAACGTTCCAATGGTTTCCTTAATACTCTCTTTTGTTTCAGATATTTCAGTTGTTTGTACCGAATGTTTTCTTTCAAAATTTTTTCTGTAATTTTAATTGTTTTTTGAATGATTTCTTTTGTTTGCAAGAATGTTTCAAACCATGCGTGAACATCGTGTACAAGAGTCCCTATCATTTTCTCAAATAGTGATACCATTTCTCTAGCCCCATCTCATCTTTGTTATTGCGAGTAAAAGTATCTTGTCCTGACTTCATACTTGAATATTTATGGTAATTTGCTTGGATATCATGACATCCACAATGTGAACATTTTCAAAATTTCATGTTGACGGTATCTTTATTGCTTGATAAGCATGGTTTGTGATTACTATAACGTTGATCATAATCATTCTATATTTCACTGTCGATCTCGTTATCAATATCCATAACATCAAGCAAGCTCGTTTCTTTTGAAAAAGTGGTGAATGCATCCGAACAAACATGCTGCTTTCTTAAAAGATTAGCCTTCATCCAATTGAACGCTAAATCAAAGGCATGCCTCCTTTCTGTTAGTCAGATCATAAGGCGGTTCAACCATCACTAACTCCTCATCTTCATGTTCCAATATTCTAAAAACATTCAAACAAGCAAGTGAGAGGGAATGTGCGTTTTCCGAGATTTCATCTTGCCTTCAACAAGGATGGTACTTTTGGAGCAATCCAGACCGTGGAAGAAGGTGATGGATCCATCCGACATGCACTTTTCGGGAGAAAATTTTTATTTGGACCTTTTTGATGAATGATTTTGTAATAAGTGATGATCAAACGAAGGTACGGTGAAGATCAAGCATTGCATTCGACTTGTACGAGTAATACAAACATTATTGACGTGGAAATGAATTCATTTATTGAGCTTTTGAATGGATTATTGATAGTTATGATCGTAATCGCGATGTCCACATGAACAAACTCCAACAGCACCTGTTCCATTGTATTGAGCACAACTGCATTGGGTACAACCTCCCCATCCTTCCTCCTTTGTTGAATGTTTTGGTTTGTGGAAATGTTGTTCTGTTGGTTTCATTTTTTTTGTTTCTTTGGACGTTTTTGTTGTTGTTTATTGGAAAATTTAATCTTTTCAACATGTTGAACCAGAGAATGTGACTTTTGACAGATCCCTGGATGACAATGATCAACAATGACCGTTTAAGACAATCTAGGTTCTCCTCTGGTTGGAAAATTTTCATGGAATATTCTTGTTGGTGTTAATTGTTGTATTGGTGGACAGATTCAAGTTGTGCAAGTTTTTGAAAAGAGGAAAAAAGGATTTGAAATCAATGAATTCGATGCAATGCATCAATAGATCACCTCACCACAACAAGTAAACAACTTGATGTTACGGACCTTATTGCAATTGTTTTTGATTCGTTTTGGAAAGATTGATAGCTCATCCAAAAAATGTCATCCCATGACAGCCATCACACCTCTGACTCTTCCAAAACCACCATGGCAGAAATTCTTCGTGTGAGAAATCGTCTTGACCAACTCATTTCCAACAACAACCCATCTCATCGTTTTGTTTCTGTCGATGACATGTATTCAGAGAGCGAGAAAAAGTTTTACATGTACCTCTCGGTCAAGATTAGATGTCAAAAAAAGAGTAGTGAGTTGAAAATTGATCAATTTGATGCAAGACGATTGAAACATCGAGAAACGAAATTTCCAAATGAAGTCTAGGAATTATTTCATGTCTTGTGTTTACGTGAGTTTTGTTTTGAATAATGTTTATAATAATTGAGAGTGAAATGTTGGTCATTCATTTAAATTCAATGGAATCATATGGTGGAAAATGTCATTAATAATGA